CAACGTGCTTAAAACAAACTTGTAAAATGAAGAACAATAGCAGTAGAATTAATAATTGCATAGCATTTACAGTTCAAATGACAGGGCTAATATGAATGGTGTTCATTTTAAAAAAGTGATATTTCCAGGATTTATATGTGAATAAAGCCAATATGAGTGGTATTATCAATTATACGTTTTCTATTTAGTAAATCAATATTACACATTTAAATTTAGGTTAGAAGGTTCAATTAGCTGAGATGCTTATTAGAGAAGCAATTTTTTCAACGATTTAACATAAACCGTAACAGTATTAGAAATCATAAAACATTGTACAGCTGTTGATATCTAATTTGAAAATACTTTGTAATATACATCAGAAACTCCATATACAAAATAATTTCGATTTTTACAACTTTTAAATAGACAAATTAGGGTCCAGTTACAAATTCAATATCCAAATCATAACATTTTCAAATTCAATCCGTTTACAGAATCTTTTTACAAGTTTTCCATGTAACTTTTTTTGGTTTAAACTTCCAGTGATTAAACGCCAGTGGAAACTTACTTAAAATTGAAAATTTCTGGTGTTTTATTTTCAATTATAAATGCTTACATATTTACATGAACCATTTATCTGAATTATTTTAACTCAAAGTGACTATTTGTTTTCATGCAGTAATGAAGTCAGACATTCTCTTCAAGGCTTATGAAGGCAATCAATAGGACAATGTTCTTTAATAAAACCACAAATTAACAGCAAACTTAAAATTTTCCTGAGTGTTATTAAAAGTAACATGGGTAGGATAAACTTTTCTCAGGAATTCTCGTAATATAATTAATATTTTGACAATGTATTTGCTAGGATAATTGTCTAAAATTAGTTAGTCATGATACCAAGTACAATCCGTAACAATGGACGCTAAAGGTGAACTTGGCACTTGCTCAAAGCCATTGTCACCCACTCTGAGAAAACCTTTATTTATAACAGATGAAAGATTTCACTATTATTTGGCTCACTAAAGTGGTTATTGGGTAACAAAATTCAGGTGATAAAAAATAAGTATCTACATTGAAAAGACACTAAATATTTAATTGTTTCTTGTAAACAAATGAGAGTTTTGGTGTTCAGAGTAAATTCTAGTAATAACACAATTCAAAATGTTGTAGCGATAAAGGAAACCCACTTTAATGAGACAAGATCGTTTAAGATCAGCCATTAGATGAAATACAAACTTACAAAGACAGCAATCATGAAAGCAAGCGGAATATTTCAGTTAAGGAACATAGGTGTAAATTGCCGAAATTTGTAGTTCTGTACCACGGGTCGATCTTAGATGACCTTTGAAAACCATAAAGCGCTGGACAGCTTTCTTATAGAACTACTGAGCATTGCACATTCACAACCCTCCTGAGGATCATATTCAGAACCTTCGGTCACCCAGAGAACGCTCAACTTTTAGACCACAGAGCTCACATCGCGCCTAACCTTAGTCGCCAGCTAATTGAAATTATTTATAAATACAGATAACTATGAAGTATATTAGTAGGTTTTATGTATTACTCAAGTTTGCTCCTTTTAAGACCTCGTAATTTAAAACACTTGATTTCATATGAATTAGTGTTGTTACTGGGATTCGAACTTATATCTTATTACTCTACACTTATCTAAGAAGCTATGGTATTCATCTGTTGTTTAAGTAGCGCGTTTACCCAAAGAATCTTCTGATTACTTGTTATCGACTTTTCCGAATTGAGCGAATCGATTTCTCCCATAATCTAGTTAATTTTTAAAATTGTGATTTGCATTAAATTCCATTATAATGAAGCAAAATACATTACTCAATAATTTATTTACACTTTTTCAATCAAATCAATAAATTTATTAATTCCGTTATTTATATACACATCAAATTATTGATTAATCATCTTCGACTACCTCCTAGTTCAGTATTTTCAAATTTGACTACTGCCCAATCAATTAAACGATATATATATATATATATATCGTTTTAATCAGTCCTGAACCAATAGTTGGTGCATGAATAAATCTTCTACTGTCCTACGTTCTCATTTGCATTGAACTAAACCATTCTTGCTCCATTGAACAACTAGTGAATAAGAGTTCGATTTCACGGTCATAATAAAAACCATACCAGTTGTTAGTTTTTTTTAGCAAGGTTATGTTGTACAGGATGGGGTTTCTAACCTGAAGCCCAACGCTACCCACTTTATCTGAGCTTTGTAGCGTGAATAACACTAGAAGGTCTACTGTCGTAGAGTCTAGGACAGAATCGGTCGAGGAATCCTGGTCTACGCCCTGTGTTTCACTAGGGATAACAGACGTAACCAAGTATACAAGTAGTAGTATCACCTTTTTTTCAAGTTCTTGTAAATTTCCATGTTAAGTTTTACATTATTCAATGTTATCTGTGACTGATATTAAAGTAATCAACAGTGAATTGCAATATTTCATTTCTTGATAAGCATGGATTACAGTTAGCTTATCTAAATGAACTTTAAGAGAAATAACTCAGCCAACTATAAATAACAATAAATCTTGCTTCGAATTATATGGTCAATTAGGGTGGAGTTTCGTTTTCTGTGTTGGATAGCTTGATCATGGAGCTTTCATAGTTCTTCTAACAGTTTAATCCAACTTCAAACATTGTTTTGTAATAATTCTAATTGCATAAATGGTTGTTATAATATTTGAAAATGGAAGTTAACAAAAGAATACTAAGAATGAAAAAAAATATTATTTTGATTAGATTGGCTTAATAAATTGTCACTTAAATAAAATACAGTCAGATTAATGATAATCAATTTTCGACTAGAATCTTTTCTTTAAAATGAATAATCTTCATTATGACTAAAAGAAATTTATACGATGATCTTAATTTATAAGATATCATCACTTGTAAACAGAATTTTATCAAAATATAGATAAAATCTACACACCATTCAGACTGTAAGGATGGCTCGTTGGCAAACTCAAGGAAGCCTCAAGAAGCCCGGAAAAGAGCCGAAGACATTCCATCCAATTACCGCTAGAGGAACATTCTAAAATGTCGACATGTAGCTCCCCTATCGGATGAATAACAAGGCTCCCCCTACGTGCCTACTGGCTGTCCGAAATGATGACTTACCTTTAGTCAAAAACTATAAATACATGAGATTTTTGTACTATATTTGACACTGTTTGGAATAACATTCCTTCTTACTAGTCTTCTGATTTTGAGTCTTGGGAGGGTTCTAGCGTTCGAGTGTTCACGTATCACGCGACATACTAAGAATCTAAGTTCGAGATATAACACAGACATATACACTATTTATAAAAACTAGTAAAGTGTAAACCAATATGTCAAAATTACATTTTTGATGTATTTGATTTCCTTTAAAGCATATAAATAACTTTAATTAATTAGAAGGGGTTTTGTGAAGATTTCAGTATTTTCATAGTTGAAATCATGAATCATTTGAAGCTATATCACCATGGAAAACTTGGAAGCACTGAACGGCCGTTTCGTCCCATTGTGGGACTCCTCAGCAGTGCGCATCCACGATCCCGCCTCGCGATATTCGAATACAGGGCCTACTTTAATTGAACTTATTCTTAACTTGATAACTACAAAACTATTTTAGAAATCTCTTAACGATGCAAATTTAAATTTTAAGAAAAAGAGTTTATCCATATTTTCTTTTATTGTTAACTGATAAAATTATTTGTTGGATAGATAAAAAAGTTTTCTATAATCTTTCAGTTCTATAAGTAGTATATGTAACAATAAGAAACCTTGTCAATATTTCTTTTAGAAAAACACTTCTATCATTATATTTAATGCTGATAATTTTGCGTCTAGTAAATATAATGACAGCGATAAGAATTAATCAAGAATGGGATTATGAATTAATTCATTAAAATAATTATTAAATTAAGCATTTGATGGTATTCTGACCATTTTTGTTATCTATTCATTCAGTATAAAGTCTATACAAATTATATTGATTCATAAGAACTATCGTCTAAATTAGAGCGAATAGTTTCACAGTTTTTGAGCGCCGAGTTGATGTAAGACATTATATAGTAATAATATTTATTTGTAAAATCTCAGCGAATGAATTTGTAGTAAATCCAACGTTTCGCCTGGCAATCTGGTTCAAACTTTTTCAAGGAATTACTACAAATTCATTCGCTGAGATCTTACAAATATATTATTCTTATTTAATGTCTTATATTGATTCAGTTTTAAATAATGATGATTGCAAAAGAAATGTATACATAAAAAAAACCCAGTAAATGACATTCCTTCCTGCAATTATAATTCAGTCTTTGTCTTTTGATGTTCCGTAACTCAATTAGATATAAAGTTACAAAGGATGAGATGGAAGGTTGTAGTCATATATCGATTGGCGAATTGTAAATTATCAATTTGAATTTGTTTGATAATCTTAAGATTTTTACTCGGTCATATCTAATATATTAACGTTATTTTAAGTGTTTTGTTAAAATAATTGAATATTTTGTTTTTTCTATTTTCTAAGAAACCTGGTACCATATTTGACCATCATTTTTTTAATTGAAATGCATTTACCATTTCAATAGATCATGTATTAGAATTACCAACTGATTAATCGATTTTATAAAAGACTAGGGCTATCCTTTCAATGTATGAAAAAAAGTGTTGGGAAGAATAGTATATCTATCTTAGGAACAAGCATTCATTAATTTTAGTCATTTTTTTTCCAACAGTTCCTATGTTAAACTCTGTTAATGACAAAGTTTACCACAAATGAATAGTATTAACTATATGAAGACATTCTTACATGTATATACACATAAAGACGAAATAAACTATATTAAATCACTAAATGTTCAGTTTATATTTTAATACCAAATCTGTTTTTTACCACTAGAGAATACTAAATATTCGAACAGTAATGTATAAGTCAATGTAAAAACTAAGATTTAAACAAGACAATCATTTCATTTCATAACAGTATCCTCATAATCATAAAGGACAAGGCTGAAATAAATGAAATCATAGAATTTATGTTGATACACAAAATAACCATTATCGTTACTTATGTCAAATAACATTTTCATAAAAAAATACATTTCAAATAGACATGTTTTTTTTATCCCATAAATTTAACTCAATGAACAGTTGCTATATTGATATCATGCATAGAAACTATATTGGTATGAGAATATTTTTAGATAATGCACTTTAAATGAAGAAAAGTCAATAACGATATACATCTATCTATTTATTGATTTGTCTTTTCAAAAATATCAAATAGTCAGTAGGTTAAATAATTTAAATCAATACTTAAGAGACAACTAATACAATAATGTTACCTTAATTGTTTTCATTTAATTGACTATTAAAGTTTTATTCACATTACACGTAGTTGTAATATTTACCAATAATGAATGTATCAGCTAGTATTATGGTGTATGCTAATTATATCTTTCTACTAAAGTAGTATGTAACACTAATCAGTAGTAAAATGCTTGTCAACAGAAGACTAAAAAGATTGAATTCAAGGAAACAGAAGTAAAAGTGAAAAACCATTGTGAATTTTTAAAAAAAATTATACGGAATTTCATGGACAATTGAAAAAAGATTTACAGATGAAATTATTTAATGTATGGTTCTCATATTTTACGAGAGATATTTTGTAACTATAGAAATAAACAATACATTGTTTCCCTCCCCCATATTCTTGTCCATTACAATATGAATCATAGAGAACAAATTTAAATCAATTTTGAAGTGTAAAACATTTATTATAACAATTTATTAATTGTTTAAATTTCAAACGAAATTTTAAATTAAAAAAGAAATAAATTAAAGGATTTACAGAAGAATTAATAAAATATAAAAAATGAAAAAATCTTCTTAAATGATATTTAATATTAATTTTTGTTATTTCATTTGGTTTATATATAAATAAATTATTATTATGAAAATTATTATTATTACCACTACTTAAATTCATTTCAGTAGTAATTGAATGATTTAATAAATTTTTGTTGATTATATTTAAATTTGTTTCATTTATTATACTATCATTATATGAAAAATGAAATTCATTTTTAGTTTCCATTAATAATTCCCAATTAATAGGCCATATAAATCTATTAGCAATTAATAAACTTGGTAAATATGATATAATAAATGTAATTGTAATTAAAATAAATGTAATTACACTTTTTATATGACGATTATTGGATAATTTAAAAGAATTAAATTTTTTATTTAAATTTCTTTTTTTTAAAAATTTACATTTAAAACGATGAGTTTTTTCAATTGAGTTAGTTTGTTTATATTGATGTTGAGTTTCATTTTGATTTTGTATAAGTTTTATATGATCCAAATTGATAGATTGTGAATCTATTTGTATTATTGAATCACTATAACTAAGACTGAATTTCTTTTGATTTTGTTTATTGTTTAAATTAGTTTGATTAATTGGTACACTTAAAAATCTTGGTCTATTATAAAGATGAAAACAATTAAAACAAGATTGTTTGATTGGTTTATTTATGACAACATTATGTTTTGGGGCAGTTAAAGGTGTATTGATTGGCCGAACTACTTTTATTTTAGGTCCAAATTTAGTTCTCCATCGATATTGATGTATTATGATGAATGAAAATAAGTAACCGTAAAAGATACAGATGCAGGTGAAAATAAGACTAAATAAAATGAATATTGACAGCTGGTAAATTTCATAATCACTTTGTGATATGAAACGTTCATCAGATTTACAATAACCATAATTTGTAAATGATGTTATTAAATCGATAAATTGTGATGTAAAATAAGTCAATAATGATTTTTTTGACGATATTAATGAACTGTCAGAAACATTATCATTCAATTCTGATTGGTTAGTTTTAGGTGAACTGTTTAATTCATGAGACATGATAATAGCTTCTGAATCACTAGTTACAAGTTTATCAACTGTACTAATTTTAAAATAAGTGTGTACACCTTGATGTAATCCCATTGGTATTGCCCATAATAATCCTAAGATATATGTTCCAACGATTAGTCTCTTCATACACTTTTTTGTCATTATAACACATGGTATAAAACAAACTAGCAACCAACGGTCCAAAGCAATTATAACCAAAAATAATGCAGAAACAGTTAAAGTGAATGATTTTAAAATAACATGTAGTCTACAAATAAAATCATATGTTCTAGTTTCCCATACAATCAGAAAGATTGTTGTCGGTATATCAATAACACAGATAATCAAATCATTTATTGCAAGAAGGACAATGAGGAGATCAGAGTTGAGATCTGTATGCATGACATTACGTTTTGTAAAAGCAAATTTTTTCGTAGTTTCCCTGTTTTTAGTACAATCATTTGCTGATTTTGGCGATTGATGAATATTTAATGCTGAAGCATTGTTGACACTTGTTAAACTACCACATTGATTTCTTAGTTCATTATTACTGACAGAATTAGAAGATTGGCTAATTGGCACAAGACTAGAAGCTCTTGACAAACATATATCAAGATGATGATTCGATTGTTGTTGACAACTTTCCTGTCGGCACTGGGAAGGCTTATGGTTTTGTATATGGTTTTCTTGTTCGCTTTTACATCTTGAACAGCTGCCAAGAATACGTAGACAGCTTTCCAATAATTCGAAGAATCTTCTAAATATATGACGACCAATTGTATGCACTACTAACCAATTACCAATTAATCCAAAAATACTTATACATACAAGAAAACAACTGATAATGATTAATGTCGGAATGTAGTTTTTTAAGACAAGTTTTTGGACATTTTCTTCTTCTTCAGCAATGAGACTATTTAAATTTGATGATCTCATCATAATAATTCGAAAGAAAATCTTTTTTTCTACGTTATTATCTGTGAGGAAAAGTTGGGCTTGTTTCATAAAATTCAGTAAATTAAATGATAATGTATAACATATTATGAATGTAAGGGGAAATTTCAACCAATTAAAAATATTTGAAATTTGATTCGCCAAATAAAAGTTATAATTTTACTATTAGCAGTAATCTTATTTAAAATATTATGATATTTCATAAAATTAACTATTAAATTGTCATTCCTTCAATATTTCGCAAACTATTATCAATGTCAGAAGGCGTTTTGTGGACATTTTAGTATTTTATAGATGAATTCATTAGTCGATTGAAGCTAGACCATCACAGGAAACCTAGAAGCACTGGACGGCCGTTTTGTCCTGGTACGGGACTATTCAGGAGTGGAAACCTACGATTTCGTCTCGTGAGATTTGAATGCATGACCTACCAGTCTCGCACCAGAGAACTTAAACGATAGACCACTGCGCCGGCATCCAACAGTGTTAATGTCTAACTTCAACCAATCCACGAAGTTCAGCAACCGTTCACTAATTTTCTTCGGTGATTTGATATCTCACAACAAACGTGGTTTGAACTACACTAGTCACTGTTTCTCACTAGAACTCTAGGAATTATCTCTTGAAGCAAGTCACTATTGAGCATATGTTCAATGTTCCAAAAAAAACTTAAAAATTAAGCTACGTAATTTATTAATATCAGTAGTAATTTATTGATTTTGAAGTTACAAATCGTTCACAATATCTAATCAATGCAGATTTGAGGAAATGATTCATTTTTGTGAAGGATATGTTGTATGCTGATGAATTCTCCGTTAACCAAAAGAATCAATCCATTTTTCTAACAAGTTATTTTGTATCCCAATACTATCAATAACATGAACATGATTTCATTTCGTATTGTTTGTTTGAACCTTCCCATTCTTGTTAAACACTGCAGTCGATCAGTCTGTAATTAACATAGGTGCATCCTATCCAGATTGCCTTAATATTATCTAAGGTCACAAACATTATCGACAAAGATGGATGTTGGCTATCAGTGGAATACAGGATGCGCGTTTCATTCTCTATGTAGTTGAGTGGATAACGCGATGGCGTTTGAAGTGACAGTACTGTGTTCGAATCGTGGAGTGAATATAAACTCCTGAATGTAGACCACTTTTTCAGAGTAAATAAATAACGGAAATTAAATTAACACATGTTTAAATAGTAGAAAGGAAACAAAGCAAAGTAATTTTTGCATAATCGAAATCATAATAGGCCTGAATATGTCAATACCAAGTAATTCTTGGTCAAGGTGAATCTGTATGGTCTGTCTTTGTAATAATTTGTGTATCAGAATGTGGGTATGAAAAGTGTACACCTTTGTAATATGAAGAAGAGGGTTGAGATTATATGTCCGTTGGTGTGTGTAACCATAATAAATAAGGTTAAATGGGGTACTCTAGAAATCACCCTAATTCTAAAACCCGTACTCGAAATTTAAGATAAACTTAAGCATTTAGCAGAAGAATATTTTTGTCAAAATCAAATTATATTTGTATATTACTTACTTACTCCTGTTACCCCTCGTGGAGGAGCATAGGCCGCTCACCAGCACTCTCCATCCAACCCTGTCCTGGGCAATCTTTTCAAGTTCTTTCCAGTTAACATTCATCCTTTTCATATCTGCTTCTATTTCGCGGCGTAATGTGTTCTTTTGCCTTACTGTTTTGCGCTTTCCTTCCGGATTCCAAGTTAGGGCTTGCCTCGTGATGCAGTTTGGTGATTTTCGCAATGTACATCCTATCCACTTCCAACATCTTTTCCTAATTTCCTCTTCAGCTGAAAGCTGGTTTGTCCTCTCCCACAGAAGGCTGTTGCTGATGATATCCGGCTAGTGAATGTTAAGTATTTTGCGAAGATAGCTATTTATAAATATTTGTGCTTTCTTGACGATGGTTTTAGTAGTTCTTTACGTTTCAGCTACGTACAACAGGACTGTCTTTTACATAACGGTTGATAAACTAGTACACAATCCAGAATTATTAAAAATATATAATATATAATTTACATGTGTTTACTGATAGGATGAAATAAAACCTTGGTTTTACCATTTAAATCCTGAAATAATTTTTATTGATATTTTTTTTAAGAATAAATTCTAATCTTCATTTTTAATCAATAATTGAATAGTAACCTTTCAGGAGTTCTTTCATGAGCAATCCACCTTCAATGATTTTATTTTCTTTCTAATATAATCAATATTTTTGATGTAATGAAACTGTATGACACATTGATATAAATTTAAATTTATTTAAATTAGATTGATGAACATGTTATTTGGGAATAACACTGCTTGATGGACATCATTTGTCAACAGATGTTTTGCAATATTCGTCTATTGACGTTTAGAATATATGGTTGAGTAATATTATGGTTAAATGTAAACCATATTTTTAAAAAATTAAACGAACTATGGTAATCCCAGGTAATTATTTAAAATATGAAGATTATTGTATGATTACGAAGATGAAAGATATGAAATTAATTGGACAACAATAACTTTAATTAAACGGTAACGATTTATTTTAACATATTTCATAGTTATTATTATGGAATAATCTTAGTTAAGCAAACACTGAAAACCAAGAAACACTAGACACCTATTTAGTTCTAGTTTGGGATTCCTCAACATTGTGCATCTACGATCCTTCGAGTAGAGATCAAACCCGTGGTCTTCGGTCTCACTAGCAACGACTTCTAGACTTCTGAGCTAGTATCTAAATGTGTACATATTTAGCTCCAATCATTTTGCTTGTGGTGGAAAATATTTACACTTTTGACTTGGTTGAGCTCAACAGGTCACAGCTTCTCACTGGAACTTCTAGAGTTGCATCTCAAAGTTAGTTACTATTAGGCACATGAAAAATTGCTATTTGAGGATTTCGGAAATTTTTAAAATTTTATATCTAGACCTTGGATAAACAGCAACTGAATAAAGAATAATTACATCCTAGTATACTTTTCTAAGGGATAATTCGATTTTTATCGTTGTTAACAATTAGTTAAAAATGATAAAAATATCAACAATAATTTTTATAGAAGGGGTTTTGTGGAGATTTAGTATTTATCATTGTTGAAAGCGTGAGTCAATTGAAGCTAGACCACCATGGAAAACCTGGAAACACTGGACGGCCATTTCGTCCTATTATGGGACTCCTCAGAAGTGCGCATCCACGAACCTGCTCTCGCGAGCGAGATTCGAACCCAGGACTTACCGGTCTCGAGCCGAAGCCCTTAACCGATAGACCACTTAGCTGGCATCCAACGGTGTTAATGTCTAACTTCAACTGATCCACGAAGTTGAGCAACCATTCACCAATTGTCTTCAGTGAGTTCCTATCTCACAACAGACGTGGTTTTAAACTCCACTGGTCACATCTTCTCACTAGAGCTCCTAGATATACTTCTCGAAGTCACTAGTGAGCATATGACTATATTAATTATAGAAGGGGTTTTGTGGAGATTTAGTAATTAACATTGTTGAAACACCGTTGTTAACACCGTTGGATGCCAGCTCAGTGGTCTATCGGTTAAGGGCTTCGGCTCGAGACTGGTAGGTCTTGGGTTCGAATCTCGCTCGCGAGAGCAGGTTCGTGGATGCGCACTGCTGAGGAGTCCCATAATAGGACGAAACGGCCGTCCATTGTTTCCAGGTTTTCCATGGTGGTCTAGCTTCAATTGACTCACGCTTTCAACAATAATTTTTATTACAATTAAAGATGTACGGTGGCCAACAGTGAGATACAGGATGCGCGTTTCTTCTTATTTGGGACTCGTCAGCTCGGTGAAATTGCATCCTTAAGTTGATATTCACTCCAAGATTCGAACACAGTACTGTCACTTCAAACGCCATCACGTTATCCACTCAACTACACATAGGACGAAATGTGCATCCTGTATTCCACTGATAGCCACCATCCATCTTTGTCGATAATGTTTGTGACCTTAGATAATATTGAGGCAATCTGGATAGGATGCACCTATGTTAATTACAGACTGATCGACTGCAGTGTTTAACAAGAATGGGAAGATTCAAATAAACAATACAAAAAGAAGAAGAAAAAATTCAATTTCAAACTTATAACGATGGCTAAATTTCATTTTTCTGAATAAACAATCTAATATATTCACGTTAAATTTTAGTGGTTTAAAGTCTTTCCCATCATTTTTATCTCGGAAACTGAATTTATTAATGGTATTTTTTTTAAATAATTATATTTGTTTCCAAAGGTAAATTTTCCGAAGTATAGGGTTTTGGATGAACTCAAATTGTATGAGGATTATGATAATTTTTACAAATTACAAACATTTTTTGAGAGAAATGGAAACGCGTTTAAGGCAGGACGTTTTTAATCAACTAGAATAAGATTTGTATTGGTTCAAAATAGTAAATATAACTGATATTTACATTCATATTTAGTGAAGAGAAAGAAGGTAGAGACTATTACATGAAATATTCATTTGGCTTGCTTAAGGGATCAATTTTAAACATAAATGTGGCACATATAATTAACAACTCTAAATTTGTGTGTATTTGATGCGAATAATTTGTGATTAAATATATAGCTCACAATGTTGAGGTTACTTGTTGTAAAGTCAATATAAAATATGATTCGTCAGGGTCTATTACCAACTTTGTGAAGTTTTATTAGATGAATTCGATAATTCAGCTTATGAATGAAATTAAAAAATTGAATAACCATAAGATACATTTGTTTTTAAAGATAAATTATGGATTTAACTAAGTATTTTAAGCATTACACTTGGTGTGGAAGTGAGTTGAAAGAGAATAATTCTTATCAAAAGGTATGAACCATTCTCTTCACCGTTTATAATGTAGGACTTGAAAGTTAAGACAGCATAGGCATGTCTTTTACGAGTAAACTTATAGCGGTAACTGTTACTGTTAAGTTCGTCTTATCAGGTTTAACGTTCATCAATCTTTTTTACTATCATCCATTATAATTGGCATAAATATTATTAAATGTTCTCCTGTTGCATACTTAATTGATAAG